CCCCCAGGCGTGTCTTGTTCCGGTAGGACCGCATCAGGGACGGATCTTTCTACCGTTAGGACATTGCTGGCAATGGTGTTGAAGGCCTCCATGGGAGATGTCCGGAACTCTATATCCCGCTCTCTTGCTTAGAAAAGAAAAGGGGTTTGAAAGTTAAGCAAAATCGTTAGATGGAGAGTTTCCTTTACAAGAGGCAAGTATTATTGCAGCTTCACAATGTGTTGTCAAATGTAGGAATACCATGAACAAAGTGAGAGATATATCAGCGATGAACGTACCAGATTGGCTTCTCTCTTCGGATGTTGGCAAGTAGAAGTTCCTCTGGGCCGTTTAAATGGACCCAGGGTCTCCGTCAATATGGTTTAATATGCAAATTTGATCGTGGGTCGATCTCACCTTAGGGACCCGCAGCCTTTTCATATGAGTTTTCGGAGTCAACGATCACGTGGATATTTGGAGTTGCTTCTCGGAAGGGGCAAGTGCCTGAACTAACGATGTTTATGGGTGTACCTTGACCTTCCCATTCCTTTTGTTCTGTCCGTTGGAATGTCGATTTTTCGAAGCAAACGGGTGGGCTTCTCAAATTCTGTTCTTCTTTTCGTTTATAATATGTTCTTTGGAATGGTCTGCACAACTGCACCTTACTCATCCGCTTCTTGCGCACCAGTTTTTGGGTAGGATTGTGTCTCTCTCTATCCGCATATGCATGAATATTCATAAAATGTACGGGCTGGCATAAAGTAAGATAGTAGCAATTGACACACAGTCCACCCTCGAAAATCTCATATAGTTTGCAAAATGAGGATACAAAGGGCCTTAGAAACCACTAGCGGGAGGAGAGAGAGAGAGAGATTGGTCCGCCTATTGCTCGCTCCCAAGCACTATAATTGGTGTCGACGAGACCTCTATTGCTTTTTCATTTTGTTTCTCTTATTTTATGCTTTTTGCACCTTTGACACACGTATTCTTTTTATATTTTGAAATTTTGAAACGCCATGTGGGATGCCAGATTAGCATTCAACAGCAATTTTAACCTCAACCCTTTAAAAAAATCATGAAATAAAGACATCATTAAATCTTATACTTTTTCAATTTTTTCAGTTTCATCTCCGTATACTTATTTATGCTAATGTGATCCCTAAATTATATGTTCTTTGGCTCGACTTAATCCTTCTTTACAATTTGCAAATGAAAATGTTGAAATGGACCATTACATCAGCGCTACGTCACTGCTGGATCGGATCATTTGCACTGATTGGATTGAAATATTAGAAAATTAAGAAAACACTTTAAACCACTAGAGAGAGAGAGAGGTGGCAAAGGCAACGGCAACGGCGACGACGATAAGGTCTGCCTAGTGCTCGACAACGGTGCAAATAAGTACCTGGCCCAGGTGAGACAAAGGGTGGTGTGAGCCTAGGCCACCACTAGCCGGGGTAGTGAGACCCCAAGCCAGATCTCGCTGGGGTCATGTGAAATGGTAAACATCCATCGTATTCTGAAATGACAGACTGTATGCCTTCGGAGATGAATGAGCACATGAACTGATTGATAAGAGCTCCACACATCCGCCTTTCAATTACAAGATCTCTTCTTGAGGACACTGTATTAGAACCAAAGAACAAACTAGGCAAGAAGTAGAATTTCAGAAGGTTGCAAAAATAGAACTCGTGAGAAGAAAATGACATTAGTGAAATGGGTTAATATCACGCAAAACCCAAAATTGGTATATCTGTGATAAATTTATCTAAAATTAATTTTTTGACCACCAATAACCCCAAATCGGTACACCCGTGACAAATTTACCCTAAACTAATATTTTAAATCACCAAAAATTTCAAACCGGTATACTTGTGACAAATTTAGCCTACGTTAAATTGAATTAATACCACAAAAAATTCCAAACTGGCAAACTTATGAAGAACAGAAGAGTAAAATCCCAAACTGGTACACTCGTCAACTGTCACATGTCATCCAACTCAACAATTTGACGGTATAATTTAACGAATGATAAATTTATCACATGTGTACTAGTTTGGGGTTTTTTGTGGTCAAAAAATTAGTTTGGAGTAAATTTGTTATAGGTGTACCAGTTGAGGTTTTTTGTGGTATTAACCCTTAGTGAAACTGATCATTCTTGATTACAATCAATACCTTCACAGCTTTTTTAAGAACAAATCAGAGGTTTGTTCTTCTTTGAACTTGAGAACTCTCTGCCTCCTGATCGAGAGGGCATAAATATTATGTGTTCATGGGAATTGTTAGTATCTTCACTAACCAGACCAGAACTCGCCTTCCCAGAAGCCCATTTCGGTTTTCACCCCTTACTCGGCTTGGCCAACGATCCTCCAAGATTTGAACCGAGATATCATCAGTTTCTTCCTTCTTGGGCAGGGGAAATTCACATCCAGCTTTTGATTTTTCACCTACAATAGGATTCATGGGATATTCAATCTCCGAAGAATTCGTATAGAAAATTACAGCTTGGAAGATGGATATCTGTTCGTATCTAAAGAGAGTATCAATTGGCCCGGAACAATAGAGTAATAATTTACGAACTTTTGACTTCCTTTCCGTTAAAATATGTCTCAAGTCTAAGTCTATCAAATAAAATCCAGCTTGAAGTGAAGTGGTTAAATTAATCTGCGATGTGAAGTGAAGTATATGGATTCTTGATCGTGAAAAATTGAAAAGAGGGCTCACAAATTAGCTTCCACGTTGAATTCAGCAAGGAAAAAAACATAAGAAGAAAGTTGACCGTGGACTTTTTCTCAACTTTCCTTTTCCGTGTTGGACTCGGCTTCAAGAAGGGTTAATCTGATCTTGTTTATATATATATATATTCTCCAAAGTCCTAAACCTACTGTATAGCGACTAATTCAGTCATAAACTTTTCAATTGTGCTAGTTCAGTCCTAAAATTATTGTATGGTGATCAATTTAGTCATCAACTTTTAGTCCTAAACATTTTAATGATTTGTCAACATTGTCATTCTAGGTAATTTTAGCTGGAAATCGCCGAAGGATTGCTTTGGCAAATCGTCAAAAAGTTTAGGACTGAATTGATAAATTATCAAAAGGTTTAGGACTAAATTGGAACAGTTGAAAGGTTATGACCAAATTGGCACAACTGGAGGGTTTATGAATGAATTAGCCGTCGGTATAATAAGTTTAAGACTTTTTGGACAATTATCCTCATACATATGGGATGTTCTTTTGCCGCAAGAAAGCACACGGTTGTTGACATAATCTTGAAGCCCCGTTTTCACAAGTGCTTGGTAGTGGGTTTTGTTTGTAGAATTACACCAAGAATTCAAGTGTTGAAACCGATTAAATCTTGTAATAAGATTGTTAATTCCTTTGTGAGATTGAGAGATTATTTGTAAGGAATTGTGGGGCTAAACACCATGCAAGTTATTAGGTGTAATTAGGGTTTGACAAAAACTGAGAGCATTTGAATAACTCAAGTGTAATTGTAATTTTTATTATATCGCTTGATTTATAGTGGAATTTTTTGCTATTCTCCCGTTGGACATAGGTCACCTGACTAGACCTGGGGACAAGGACGGCATGGATTCATCTCACAAACCATAAAGAAATGAGAAAATAAATATTATAGATTATGATTAACTAATTGTTGTGGTATAATAAATAGGTCCATTAGTCATCCTAAGGCATTTGTTAGGGAAAAGTGCCAAAGAAGTCCTAAACCTTTTGCATTAGTGCCAATTTAATCTTAAACCTTTTTTTGTGCCAATTCAGTCCTAAACCTTTTGCATTGATGCCAATTTAGTCCTAAACCTTTTTTTGGTGCCAATTAAGTCCTAAGCCTTTTAAATTGGTGCCAATTCAGTCCTAAACCTTTTGTTTTTGTGCCAATTTAGTCCTTCCGGTCAATTTTGATTGGAATTTGCCGACGTGGACGCCTGCCGGCTGGCAGCCGGTCACCGGCGCCGACGTGGACAACTTTAATAATATTTTAATAGTTTTTTGAATTTTTTTTCTTTTTTTCTTCCACTTTTTTTTTTTGTTCTCTCCCTCTTTCCTCTAGCCGGTCGCTGGTCCGGCGACTGGCCAGAGGCCGGCGAGCTCGACCTCGCCGGCCACTGGCGAGGGCGGCCTTGCCCAAACTAGGCGAGGCTCGAGCCCTCGTCGAAGGCCGCGGCGAGGGCGAGCCTCACCATGGTCGGGTGAGGCTCGACCTCGCCGGATCTGGCGAGGTCGCTAGGCGAGCTCGACCTTGCCGATCCGGCGAGGTCGGGCCTCGCCCGACCATGGCGAGGCTCGAGCCCTCGCCGGAGGCCGCGGCGAGGCGAGCCTCGCCATGGTCGGGCGAGGCCCGACCTCGCCGGATCCGGCGAGATCGCTGGGTGAGGCTCGCCCTCGCCGCGGCCTCCGGCGAGGGCTCGAGCCTCACCCGACCAAGGCGAGGCACGCCCTCGCCGGCCTCTGGCCTCTGGCCGATCGCCGGACCGGCCAGAGGAAGGAGGGAGGGACAAAAAAAAAGTGAAAAAAGAAAAAAGGAAAAAAAATAAATATTAAAATATTATTAAAGTTGTCCACGTCGGCACCGGTGACTGGCCGCCGGCTGGCAGGCGTCCACATCGGCAAATTCTGATCAAAATTGGCCGGAAGGACTAAATTGACACAAAAATAAAAAGTTTAGGACTGAATTGACACCAATTTAAAAGGTTTATAACTGAATTGGCACCAAAAAAAGGTTTAGGACTAAATTGGCACTAATGCAAAAGGTTTATGACTGAATTGACACCAAAAAAAGGTTTAGGACTAAATTGGCACTAATGCAAAAGGTTTATGTCTTTTTTGGCACTTTTCCCGCATTTGTTATGTGATGAATTGGGAAAATCTTATAACTTTCAATACACGGTCTTATATGATATGAGGGTTGTATCCCTAAAGCATTATAATTGTGTTTTTGTAATTAAACTATGATCAAAACTTAGAAAGAGAACAACAAGAAACAACTAAAGCAAATAAGAGTAACTAGAAATTGTTACAATCACCTTCATTCGCCATCGCGAAAGCACAGTTCTTAAGACATTTCAATTTACAGATCCATCGGTCGTCAAAAGGACAACAAAAAAAAAACCTTGGTAACATTGTATGTCTAGCTGATAACACTACTGATACCCTTCTCCAAAATGATGCCAAGCATAACGGTGGCAATAAACTACTCCTAAGTGTAATCAGAACTCCTGAATATTGAGACTAAGAGCACAGCGGGACTCTGCTTAGTCAGTTCGAACACGCAGACGTCTCCTTCGCACAGAGAAGTTGCCCTTGCAAATGCAGACCAACCTTGAGATAACTTTCCATGGTCTCTCGGAAACTTGGTTAACTTCACCGGCCACGAATACTTCTCGTGCTTAAGTGTCACGACCTGCACACTTCTCTTGATATGAGTCCGCATAAATTCGGCCGGTACACTCTGCATAAATGTTTTATAAATTGACATTCGATATTACCCTTCTCAAAATAAATCGGTGTCATGAATCATGTCAAGGCATAAACATTCTAAGTAGGAGGATAAGGAAAAATAATAACCCAAAACATGTACTCTCCAAGGTTTTCATGAACTAAGGAAACGATGCCGTCTTAAAGTTCCGGAGATGCCAATGATGAAACTAGGTCACTGAGAATCTCACCACAGTGGAATTTTTAATATAACTAGGGTACACCACGAGTATGAACGTAGGATGCTTCGATTTGAAGTCTCGCGCCATTTCAAGAGCAGCAGGACATGGCACATTACATCTACGAGCAACCGGCGTAGCAGGGCTTGCTCTGCTTGCAGACTTTCTGATCATGCCTGTACATAGTTTATAAAAAGAAAAATATTTCATCTTAAAATCCAAAATTAGATGATAAAATTCCGAAAGGATATGAGCCAATGAACTGACTCAAATGTTACTAGGAAATTGGTGTTCATAGGAATAATCATCATCTTCACTACCCGTACCAGAGTTCACCTTTCGAGAAGCCAATGCTGACTTTGATTTTTTCCTAATATTTGGGCTAGGCCGACAATCCTCCAAGATTTTGGCTGAGATATCATCAGTTTCTTCCTTCTTGAGCAGAGGAAGTTCACATTCCGGTTCTGATTTGCCCATGATCACAGGACCGGTAGGATATTCAATCTCTGAAGCACTCGTGTCAAAGATCACGACATGGAAGACCGAGCTCGGTTCGTATCTGAAAACTAGGACTTGGCCAAAATCGATGGAGTAATAGTCTGTGAACTTCTGCCAACCTTGGGCAAGCCGAGCCATTCCATCACTCCACTCCAACTCCACTGGCCAAACTGTTGTACTGCTCGGAACCTTGAGATACACTGAGTCAGGGAGGTTACGACCATGTCTCTGCAGAAATCTCTTTGGTATCTCCTATTAAGAAAAAGAAAGAAAAGAAGATTCAATAAAATAGTTAAATCATTTTTTCGCTTAAATTTATGATATTTAGGTTCTTGTCCAGAGCAAGTAGACTCCATTTCATAGTGAGAGGCACGCGCACATACCTCTGTAATACATAATGAAAGGCAAGAAATAATCTGAGGCTCGGTATTCCCATAACAACATAATGGAAACTCCTCATTTCCTCAAAACACTTCGAAAATAAGGAATTGCCACCAAGCGAGTCCATAAAATAGTGAACCACTGAAGAACCTTTGTTAACATTCTCACAAGAAATTTTGGGATTCAGATAGTGAACAAGTAAGTTTTACAAATTCTTTTCAGGCCCCCCGCAAAAAAATCTGCAACTCCATCAGCAACTTTTTGAATCAGACATGCGAATGCAATTACCATGTTCAGTAATTCTCAGTGTGACTCAAGGGAACTAGATTGTGATAAGAAGTACCTACATCACCCAATTAGAGTGAATTTGGTTGCCTGCATCCAGGGAATTAGTCACGCGAAAGGCTTGGATACCGGTATTATTCTAAGGGGGTAAATGAATTACAAAGAGACACTGATATACCTCCATATTCCGGCCCTACATTTTGCTCAAATTCACAATCACAATAGAAGAAGCTTCAGCATACGATTCGCCATAGCATGAATTCTATTTGCCTTCACAAGAAAATTCTCCTCAGTTGAACATTGGTTCTGGTAAACTAATGTCATCTCCTGAACCAAATTCAACACAATTAGGAAAAAGAAAAAAATCCAGGAACATATTCTAATGGGTCAAAGTCATGCGGGTTTCAAGCCAAGGACTGGTCCAGAGACTGGACACTGAAGAACAGAACAATTTCCCTGCAAGTGAAACACCTTGCATGGATGTCTTTTGCTCACTTGGTCACATACAACTGTTAACTCAGTCACACAATTAGCCAGAAAGGAGGACCATCCACGATCAAGAAACAAATCAGGCGGCTGGTGGGCAAAGAAGAATAAAAAACGAAAATCAAGAATCACTGGGGAAGAGAGAGAGAGAGAGAGAGAGAGGGCTTGCTCACAAGCTTTCCGCTCGGAAGGGTATCGGAGGAGAGTATGATCTTGAAAAAATGAGGAGACTCGAGCGGTTCAAAACCCTACGGACGACGCGAAGTCATCCTTGTGAAAGAAGCTCCTTTCAAGGCCATGAATTCGCCTTTGTCTCTCCTGCTTAAGGAGTCGTGTCGTCCACCGCTAAGCAGGTTATTAGCGTTTTAATCGGTCAGAGCAACCAAACCGTCGCGTTGGAGCAGTTTGTCCTAGGGCCGTTCAACCGGACCAATTTTACTTGGGAACCAGACCGCCTTGAAAACTAGTTCCATTCCAATTTCATTGGAACCGGTCGGGTACGACTGCCCGGGAACCGGACCGATTGGTCCAAATTAGTAACAAGTTCCATAAAACCTAAAATGGCATTTTCTCTCTCCGTTCTCTCTTGCTCTCGACTCACGCTCCTCCTCGCTCGCTTGCGGCTCGTCTTCACCTGTTTGAGCCTCGCAATTCTCACTTGTTCCTGACTCACCTTCGCTTGCTTGCCCTTGTTTATCTTTTATTTTGAACCCTTTTATTGCTTTTGCTATAAAAAATGAAATCATAAAAAGGAACAAAAGAAAAACAGATTGTCCAGTAGACTCTAAAACTGAACCGAAAAATAAAATAGGTTCCAATGTCGATTGCAAGGCAAAAATTGTAAGTTCCAGGCTCTAAAAACTGGAAATCAGTTCTAAGGGGATAGGTTATAAGTACGTGCTCTGAAACTACCCTGCCTGAAATTGATCATCCTTAATTTTTACTAAAAGAGTCGTGCTCATTCATTTAAAGATGAATGTGAACTGAACTCAGTCATCCGGATTATATCTTTTCCTCCATTCCTAGGTTGGTTTTGCTCCCACCAGTGTGGGTTTTGAGAAAAAATTTTAGCCCCAGAGGCGATGTTGCTTCCATCTCGTGCTTACAATGCTGAATTCGAATCCGTCCTCGTTCCGTCGGACTTATTCAGTGGCAGGAGTGAAGATCCCACTTGAGATTGTGGAGACTTAACGTTGATATGAGGATAGTGCATGGTAAACAAGGTTGTCTCCCAAAAAGCTCTACACTTCATACTCTATTCCAATAATTTGAGTTTGTGCTTAGAAAGAGAAAAACAATGTACAACTAAAGAAGATAGAGTAACTAGAAACTTTACAATCACTTTCATTCCCCATCACCAAAGCACAGTTCTTAAGCACATTTCAGTTTGCAGATCCATTGAATGTCAAAAAGAGACAAAAGGAAACTCATAAAATAGTATGTCTAGCTGATAATACTACTAATATCATTCTCCAAAATGGTGCCAGGCATTATGGTGGTAATATACCACTTCCAAGTATAATCAGAACTCCTGAAAATAGAGACTTCGAGCACGACCCCACTCCGCTTAGTCAATTCGAGCACGCAGACATCTCCTTGACACCGAGAAGTTCCTCTTGCGAAGGCAGATGAACCTTGAGATAACTTTCCAAAGCAGCGGTCTCCTGGAAACATGATTAACTTCACCGGCCTCGAATCCTTCTTGTGCGTTAGTGTCACAATCTGCACGCTTCTCTTGATATACATTTGCATGAATGTGTTATAAACCGATATTCCATAATAGCCTTCTCGAAACAAATTGGTGTCATGATCATGTCAAGGCATAAACATTCTAAGTAGGAGGATAAAGAAAAATATTAACCCAAAACATGTACTCTCCAAGGTTTTCACGAACCAAGGAGACGACGCTGTCTCAGAGTTTCGAAGATGCTAGTGTTGAAACTAGGTAACCGAGAATCTCACCACTGTGCAAATTTTAACATAACTAGGGTACATCACGGGTATGAACGTAGGATGCTTTTATTTGAAATCCCGGGCCCTTTCGATTGCAGCAGGACATGTCACATTAGATCTACGAGCAACTGGCCTAGCAGAGATTGCTCTGCTCGCAGACTTTCTGATCATGCCTGTACATTGTTTATAAAAAGATAATAATTTCATCTTAAAATCCAAAATAAGATGATGAAATTCCTAAGAGATATGAGCCAATGAACAGACTCAAATGTTACTAGGAATTCCGGTTTCATAGGAATAATCACCATTTTCACTAACCGTACCAGATTTCTCCTTTTGAGCAGCCGAAGCCAATGCCGACTTTAATTTTTTTTCCTTATTTTTGGGCTAGGCCAACTATCCTCCGAGATTTCAGCTAAGATATCATCAGTTTCTTCCTTCTTGAGCAGAGGAAGTTCACATTCCGGTTCTGATTTATCCGTTATAATGGGTTCTGTGGGATATTATATCTCTGAAGTGCTTGTATCGAAGATCACGACCTGGAAGACCGAGCTCGGTTCGTACGTGAAAAGTACTAGTTTGCCAAAACCGATGGAGTAATAGTCTGTGAACTTCTGCCATCCTTGGCCAAGCCAAGCCATGCCGTCACGCCACTCCAACTCCACTGGCCAAACTGTTGAACCGCTTGGAACCTTGAGAAACACTGAGCCTGGGAGGTCACTCCCATGTCTCTGCAGAAGCCTCGTCGGTATCTCCTATTGAAGCTTGTTTGATGGGTCAAAGAATACTCACTCTATCAAGAAATACATCAAGCCATTGTTGGACAAAGCAGAACAGATATTTGAAGAACACACACAGGGATGGTTACAAGCCTTCCACTCTGGAGAGCGTCGGAGACTATGATCCTGAAAAAGTGAGGAGGCTCGGGCGATACGGGACCATTCCGGTAGTGAAGTCATCCTCTTGGAGAGGTGGTTTCTGATTCAGATCATGTACATAATGCATTCACTCGATCTCAGCCTTTGCTAGTGACTCAGTCCTTGTAGTTGAAGTAGTAATTCATGGGTTGGTGGGAGTGGTTATTGCATTTAACTTCCTCTTAATGGATGCAAACGATTGCACGATAGATAGTAAAATGTTACGTATGAATGATGGATTTGATGCTGATATTAATATTTGGCTTCTAACAGATGAACCTGCTTCTTAAAAATTGTCTTGTCTAATTAGTCTCGAAACTCAACAAAATAAAATACGGGAGTTCCCACTGGTTAACTTAGTCATTTGTTTGTTCATCAATTTAACTTCACCTAACTGCGACAAAGTCCCAAGTTGCAAGAAGAGAGACATGTAACACTAATTCCACTGAGCGGGAGACCGTTTATACTCCATTTGAAGTAACAATGTACATTTACTTTTGGAATGAAATGCGATCATACACCTAAGAGAGAATATGTCTTCAATCTGAATCTAATCATTCCTCTTATCTGTGATAATTATGATTAACAAAACACTGGAGACGAAAACAAATATATCAAGATAGCCAAGTCTATTCTATCAAATAACTATGATAGGAAGTCCAACGGTGGCAGCTGATTGGTATAAGGTGTCCCAAATGCTGTGGCAACGTTGTGATCATCAAACCGGGACAGTGGGTCTCAGCGCAGCAAGTGTTTTCTTAATCCTCATGAAAGCCTCTTGTATAGTCTTGAGAGAAGCAGCATACGAGATGCGGATGCAGCTGTCATCCCCAAATGCATCCCCGGGGACCAACGCAACCTATACAGAATAGCATTGAGGAAAATTCCCAAAGTCAATTGGAAGCAGCACTATGATTCAGTAGGATGTTACACCTTCTCAGCATTGCAGATGTCAACATTTGGGTGAGGGGCAACAAAGGAATTCGGTGCAAACACATCTGCAAGAGCTATTCTTTTTTTCCTGCATCTAGAGGAAGATAGACAAGCACTTCAATGATACATACCTGGGCCCGGTCAATCAGGTATCGGCAAAGTGACTCCGAGCCATCAATTATGCCAAAGCCTTCAACTTCAGCTCCATAGTAACAGCTCAAGTCAATGAAAAGATAGAAGGCTCCCTGCATATGGAAGCACGTGGCATACGAAATTGCAATGAAAAGTGATGAGAAACAGCAAGACAGAAGGCCAGAGGAAGACCAAATGAGAATGATTAGTTTGTTTGCTGGGTCAATCTCTGATTTAGTACCTGAGGTTCTGATATCTTGACACCCTTCAGTTCCCCAAAGCTTTTAACCAAGAAATTTCGCCGTTCCTTAAAAGCTTGTACCATAGTCGCGACAGTTTCGCCTCCAGCATATCCCATCGACAGAGCAGCAAGTCCTGCCTTTTGAGATATGCTGCTGGCACCAGAAGTAAACTGCAACAGAGCAAAGCAAATTCGGCCATGCTGATGGATAGTGCCAGACACAAGATTTGGGGAATTGAATCAGAAAGTTATTAGTTCAGAAGGTTGTATTACTCAAATTGGCCACCACCTTAACAATTTGCTTCATCCAACGTCAAGTCTACTTCATCATATTCGGCCTCAAAAACCAATGCTCTTTCTCTGTGATATAAATTTCTCCACTGACATAAAATTTCCTCTCTCTACCAAGTTTAATTCCAATGAACTCCTAGGCAACCTCCATTGACAGCTTCATCATTTGCACATTGTTTCTTTCTATGACAAGTTAGGTTGTGATGCAGCATACCTGGCTCTGGATTTTTGCACAGGCTGAAATGAAGTGCTTTGGACCAGCAATATAACCAAGTCTCCAGCCAGTCATTGCGAAGGCCTATAGATGTTACAGCATTTCAAGATTAGATATTTTTATAAGGGCATGTAGTTGGATATATTCTATCATAGAAGCAAAAACGAATATGAAAAAGATAAATTTCATGAGATTGAAATTTAGGAGCGAATAGTTCTCAAGAAGGAAAGGCTTCCAAATACCTTAGAAAACCCGTTCACAGTGAGTGTCCTCTCCGACATTCCAGGCAGAGATGCAAAACTTGTATGCGTAGCTGGGGCATATATAATGTGTTCATATATTTCATCAGACAGTACCTGAAAAGTTTGCCATGGAATTTTTCCAGAACTTGTCAACTCAATTG